GAGGTTGGGTGCTTTGGGGGAAAAAAAAAAGTGCTTTATTTGTCTCTTTCAAAGTGCCTCTGTTGAAACGTGAAGGTAGCCCTCCCCCTCCTTTCTGGTGGTGCCTCGCTTCATCTGCAGTCATTTCCTGATGTGCGTGGGTTTGTGTTTTCCTTTGATAGGTATGGTTAAAAATTGGACTGACTTCTTTTTAGGGCAATCACAATGAATTCTCTTTCCACACCAACTTCCCTGCTCCCCTGGTTCTCTTTGGCACCAGGAGCAGGCTGCCAGATCTGTCAGCTTGAAATCTCATTCCCCTTTACGTACATCAGCCCTCCTCTTTTAAGCAAGAGTAAGAAGGTCTGGTGGTAGTTGCAACATCACATAGAGAGAAACTTCTTATAACATTAATATTTCTGCTTTTTTTCCTACCCTGGTCCCTTCGTTCCCTGTTCCAGGAGCTTGTTGCTGGCTGATCCTCCTAGAGCTGCATCCCTGCCACCGACTTCTGAGCTCTCCCACCCCGTGCTCACCATCTGTGCAGCCTTCCTGTAACCTCAGATATTTAACACTCCCAAACACAGCGAGCTCCTGGATGTGGCTGAAATAGGCAGGATTAAGCACCCAGCGTGTGGCCAGCTCTGGGAGTCAGCAGCTCTGCCTGGATGGCTTTTACTGGTGCTGTGCAACCCTCTGTGTGTTTTCTACCTCTGCAGTACATCTGCTGTGCCATAAAGCTGTTGTCCCAATGAGCACCTTTCCTACCTCCTGATCTGCAAAGAACGAGCCTCTCCCCAGTGGCTTTGCTGCAGGAGCAGTCCTATGGGTGTGTTGCAGAAGGCAGGGATAATCTTCACAAGAACTGTGGTTCTGACCATGAGAGGCTGTGGGCAGGGCAGAAATCCTGCTTATCCCAATTTAATTTGCACGCCCTGTGGGGCTTGGAGAGTGCAAGCAAGGCTTCTCAGTGTAGTAGGAAAGGAGTTCTCGCAGGAAAGCAGTTCTGACTTTGCTATATATTTAACCTCTAATGAATGAGCACTGAAAAATGGCCGAAGGAGGGATATGGTGCCAGCATTGAGATTTGTAACGGTGGGTAAGGCTTGGGGATGCTGGCATCCCTCCGAGCCAAGCCCTCGGTTCACGCGACAGTCCTGTGCTCACCACTGCCAATGTGCTCCATTCTTAACTGACCTTAGAGAAGATCAGCAGGACTCAAGTTAATAAGTACCATTAAAGCACGATGTGGCTTGTAATGCATCAGCAGAGCGTGGGCATAGTGCAGATGTGGCTTGTTTGTGCTGGCACAGCTCTGCTTGATGACAGTTGCCGTGGATTGTCAAGTTCACAGCCTCCTGGCTTACCTTGGCCCCATGGGAAGAGGCTCTTAGCCTTGTGCTCCCTTTGCACTTAAGGAGATTTGTAGGAAATAGCCTTATGGATGTGCTGGGGCTCCTTCTGCTTTGTTCTTGCCTCGGGGCTCCCCCAGCCCACCCCAAAGCCCTCTGTGTGTTTTGTGCTGGGCGCCAGTGTGATGAAACGCTTTCTGCTGTTGGTAGCTGGGTTACTTAAAAGCTGCATTGTTTTATTGGTCGGGAGAGCTATTAGGAGAATCTGGGCTATAAATATGTGTCTCTTCCTTGGCGTGTAATTGGATCTTCCAGAAATCACAGAATATAATTGAACTACTTGGATTGGAAGGGACCAACCACTGCTGTGGGTAGGGACTCCTCCCATAGACCAGGCTGTCTGAGGTCCCATCCGTGGCCTTGGGCACTGCCAGGGATGGGGCACCCACAGCTCTGTGCAGCAGTGCCAGGGCCCCACTGCCCTCAGAGTAAAGAATTTCTTCCTAACATCTAACCTAAGCCTCACCTCTTTTGGTTTATAGCCATTACTCCTTGTCTTATCACTAGCAGACTGTGTCTTTTGTTATAAGCTCCTTTTAAGTGTTGAAAGACCTCCGTGACATTGCCCCAAAGCCTTCTGTTCTCCAGGCTGAACAACCCCAGCTCTCAGCCTTTCTTTATAGGAGAGAAATGTTCCATTTGCACAACTGATGCTGGTTTCAAGCTGGAAGAGCCACTCCTCTCTCTAACTTCCATAACGATGGGCACCAGCTCAGTGCGGTGCCGTGGCTGCTGGGACCATGGTGGTGTCCTGTGGGCCGTGCTGGGGTGCTGCCTGTATTTACAGCCTTTCATGTAGCTTCCTTTGTTTGGAAATGTTGTCCAGCAGAATTGGAGATGGGATGCGGTGGATGGGGGAAGCCCCAGCCTGGAAGGGGTTTTAGAGCAAATGATACCACTTGAGTTGGAAAAAGCCTCCTGGAGGTAAATCTCATTGCAGTACTGATGGGAAATGTCCCTGTGTGGCCAGGGAATGTGTAGGCAAGAGAGTGGAGGGCATGTGGATAAACTGACTGGATGCAAGGGGCTCAGCTGGCAGGGATGGAGCAGGGGGAAGCTGCAGTGTGCCAACTGTGAGATTGATGCTGCAGAGTTGGCTGGGCCGTATTCTTGAGAAGCTTAAAACCAAAACCCCATGGGAGTGAATCCTTCCTGCTATTGTAAGGAGAAGCAGTGACTGTGTGCATGGTGCTATTTTAGAGCAGTGTCCATTACAGCTGTCTGTCTGCTTTGAGAAGGAGCCTCTGGGGCATATGAAATTCCTTCCATTTGTCCTTTCCTCCCTGAAAATAAGACAGAAATCTGAGTCCTGACTGCTGGCCATGATAGAAAAATGACTTGGGGAAGGACAAATGGTGTGTGTTAGTCGTTAGATGGATGTGTAGGGGTTCAGAATGGAGAAGGAGATGCTGGTTTGCAGGAAGGATGAGGCAGCTGGAGGACAGCAGGTACATGTGTGGTAAGTGGAGCACTGCTGGGCTTAGAGCCTCATGGCCATCAGCCCCAACTTTCTGGAAAGGAAACCAGAGCATCAGTAAGCCTCTGTAAAACAGCTGAGCCTTACCCCCCCAAAATAGGGTCATTCTGAATCTTTGAGCTCTGCATGCAAGTCAGCAGTGTGGGGAAAAGCTGCTTATTGCTTCTTACCCCCAGTGTGTGGAGAGAGGAGAGGAGAGATGTGCTGGGATGTGGCCTGGAAACCTCCCCAGGGTGCTTTCCAAACAGGAGTAGACTCCAGAGTGCTTCTCCTGCCTTGCTCCTGGTGAGGCATCTGTTTTCTTGTTCCAAACTGTTATGGGGATAATGAGATTTAATCAGTCTCCAGCTCTCCTCCCCTAGTTGGTAGTTAGCCCAAATCCTATTATCTCATAAATTGTTTGAAATTCTGTCCTTTGAAACTGCACTAAGCTGGGATGGAAATTCCTCATGGCTTAGCCCTCATCTCCTGTGATGTCAAGCTCAGGCTTTAGCTGCTCTGCTACAGCTCCTGTGGGCTTGCTGGTACTGTAAGATCAAGGCGAGTGGGTTAATAGTGCTTGGTTAACTCCTAGTGACACAGAGTGATCTGTTAGGAGGGGAAGGGCTGGTGGAAGCAAAAATATCTGCTAAAGGTGGGATTGAGCCCGTTAGGAATGTGGGAAAGGAATGATACAAGCACTGAGATGGCTGGGAGAAATAAGTGGGCTTTCTTCCACCCATTGGTTGAAAGCCTGGCAGAGTTGTGCTTGAAGCTGCCCATGATAGATGCATTGGGAGATCCTTTGTGAATATTCACAAATCTTGCCAAAGAAAAAAAACCCGACCAGTTGAGCTCAGATTGCTGGAGCACTTCTGTCTCCAAACAACCACTTTCCAGCTTCTGACATGGACAGGCAGTCCCCTTTGTTTCCAAGGAATCACAGAATTGTTCTGGTTGGAAACGACGTCCAAGGTCACCAACCTCACCCCACCGTGCCCACTGACCACATCCCTCAGTACCACATCCCTACAATTCTGGAATGCCTGCAGGGATGATGACCCCACCACCTCCCTGGACAGTCTTGTTCCAGTGCCCTGATCACTCAGAGAAGACATTTTTCTTAATATCCAACCTGATTTGCAACCAAAGAGAAGAGCTGTGAGAAGCAGCAGCATGGAGGGATACTGATTGGTTCAGGGCTGGGAACTGAGCACTGCAGTGCTTCCTTTGAACAGCCAAATTCCCCTTGTCTCAGAGAGAGCATAGGTTGTGTCCCAGGTTGGGTGGAGGCTTTGATCGTTCTCCCCCATTGCTCTTGAGCTTTCCCCTGCTATGGGGTGACAGCAAGCACCAATGCCCAACGCTTTGTGGGTGCCGTTCCAAGGTTCATCACCTGAAACACGTGAGCTGAGCAATGTTGTAGTAAATTGAACTGTTTTTCTTGGGGCGCTTATCAAAGTGATTACTGGGGAAGAGGACTTTAGACAGAGTGATGTTGGCTGGGAAGAGGCTGTGAGCTGGAGAGCAGATAACAGCTTGTGGTGCTTTGAGAGCCAAATGATGTCGAAATTTAACTTTTGAGCTGGAACCCGTTCCATTGTTTGAGTCTTTTGTTTCTGTGCCCCATGTTTCCATCCAGCCCAGGTCACTGTGCTGGGGGCTGCCAAATGACCCTTTGCTGCTTGAACTGTAACGGGGTGTGTAGGATTTGGAGGTGATTGTGGATATGCAGTGGTGTACGTGGCAAGGTGCTGATGGGTTGACTTGGTGATCTCAGAGGTCTTTTCCAACCTATGATTCTATGATTTAGGACCTGCAGAACAAGAGAGGGGGTTGGAGCTCTTGCTCATAAATATCTTCTGCCTTTCTGGAAGGAGAAGATCTCTTCCAAGTGACTGGAGATGAGTATGACAGCGAGAGCTGTCATCTCAATGGCTTTAATCTGGACTGAAATGTACCAGCTCTTACGCAGGACTTTTGTGATTGCTCACTGTGCTCTGTTCATAACTCTGTTCCTGGCGCAAGCGTTCCTGCAATGCAAAGACTTGGGTAGCAAGTGAAGCCTTGACATTCAGGCTCTTTGACTTGCTTCAAGAAGTCTTGGAGCCCTAACTATAATTTTTGACTTTTATTTCTTCTCTCATTCACAGTACAGTGCCGTGGACAGCAACCCTCTGTCTGTGTATGTCATGCATCCCTTCTGGAACACGATAGTGAAGGTGAGACCTCCTCCTGCCCTGACTGGGACAGCAGAACACCACTTGCTGCCAAGACTTCTGTAGCTGAAAGGCCCCGCTTGTGTGAAAAGACCTGCTTCGTTTGGGGTGTGACTAATTAAGTGGGCATGACCTTCCCAGCTGGCAGCCTGCCCTGAGCTCACTGCACTGCAGCCTGAAGCTTCGTGCTGCCCATGATGTTGGATGCAACCAAGCAGTGTTGTCTAACGCCCAGATGATTGTAATGAGGTCTCTGTTGCAGCCTTGTTGCACATTTTAATGAGCTCATTTGTTCTTTTGCTGCTTTCCCGTAGATCTTCCCTACTTGGCTGGCCCCAAATCTCATAACATTTTCTGGCTTCCTGCTGCTTGTCTTCAACTTCTTCCTCATGGCATACTTCGACCCTGACTTTTACGCTTCTGGTAAGGCTGCCTTTTTCTGTTTGGATGTAAAGCATCAGAAAGGTGTGTGCTGTCACCTCCTCTGCTGTGACTTCCTGTGCTCGTTGCAAAGCACTTTCAGCCTGGGTTCCCAGGCAGTGTCAGGAAGGGATGGTGTTCAGGGGCTCAAGTTTCTGGGCTTTGCGGTGAGGACTTGTCCAAGTGACACCTTCCTGCTGGGTGCATTTGCTCCTGGCTGGCTGTGTGCAAGTGAAAGAGGAAGGAATGGCCAAATCTGAGGAGGATTCAGCTCTGCTTTCACGATGGACTAAAGCTAGTGCCCTCATTTTGAAATCAAAAGTGTGGGAAACTCTGCTTTCCTGAAGTTAGGGAGTAGAGCCTTTTAATTTGCATCCCAGCTAATTGCCCTCTTGCAAAAAACATGCTGGCCCCACATTCAAACTGACAAAGACCATGTCACTGTTCTGTATCATGCAAGGATGTGCACAGCTTTGAATGTGTAACAGAGCCACTGTTAATCTGTTAATGAATCTGAAAGTTGTTGTCTCCTTGCTCATGAAAATGTCTCAGAGAATTCAGCATGTGATAACTCTCAGTCACTTATGGTAGTTTTCTTTCTGTATTTTAGCTTCCTTGACAGATTTGATCTTAGGTTGCTCAGAACAGTTCATGGTATCAATCCACAGCAACATTTTGTGGCACTGCTGTTGCCCGTAGGAGACCTCTATTCATCCTCATGTGAGGCTGTGCCAAGAAGCAGCTTCCTGCTTTTTCAGGTGTACCTTTGGGCTCCCAGAGTTGCAAACAGCTCAGCTGGCTGTCTGCTGAGTGCTGGAGAAGCAGACTGAGTGGGATTTCCCCATGTGTGGCTGCAGAGGCAGGGTGTAACCACGTGGAGTCATGGAATCACATCTCTAAGAGATTCTGCTTGGTGCTCTGAGCGAGCAGTGGAGGAGTGCTTGATCTGCACACACTTCCATGGGATAGTTTTGGGCCACGTTTGCTAGCTGCCATCACAAGATTTTAGATCCTGTGACACAGAGGGACAAGTATGTCTTGGAAAGTGAAGTCGTAGGTTTCCTGTTGTGGAACAGCTCTGCTATCTCATCCTGCAGAGCTGCCATCTCAGTTTCACTCAGTTGTGTGGATACTTTGTCCTGGTGACCTGGTGATCTACGTTTTATGCATCTTGTGCCAAAATAAACCCACTGAGCATACACACTGAGCTCTCTACCCCTGGGTCTTTCTGATCCCTGCAGCTCCTGACCACCAGCACGTTCCAAATGGAGTATGGGTCGTTGTGGGTCTCCTCAACTTCATTGCCTACACGTTAGGTAAGACTTCATCTGGCTGTCTGGGGGGTTTGTGTTGGTTGTGTTCTTGTTGCAGCTGCATGTTGGCTTATCTCTGAGCCCACTGAGGTATCTTTGATTCTGAACTTCAGCCGTGCCCTGCTCTAGGGCAATTTCCAGGGAGTGTTTTGCCAAGTGGATGGAAGGAAGGGGGCCCAGAGCAGCTGATGCCAAAGGAGGATGCTGGAACTGGCTTGGAGGTGATCTGGGAATTCTGTCACTGGTCTGCTTCAAATAAAGTCGTCAGACTTTCCCTCTATTTCATTTTTCAGTCCTGAGGAGAGCTGGGGAGTGGTACCTCCAAAAGCATTGCATAGAGGATGGAGGTCGTGGGAGTTTCTGTTTGCTGGCTGCACACACTTTGTCAGCTGCAACCTGGCCCATTGCTCTGTTTAGAGGTATCCACAAAACTCACTATTTTTGGAGTGTGTCCAGTAAAACTCCTGTTTTTCCTTGCTGTCTTTCCAGATGGTGTTGATGGCAAACAAGCTCGCAGGACCAACTCCAGCACACCCTTAGGAGAGCTTTTTGACCATGGCCTGGACAGCTGGGCTTGTGTGTACTTCGTTGTGACAGTCTACTCCACCTTTGGCCGGGGCTCCACGGGTGTCAGTGTCTTCGTTCTCTACCTCCTGTTATGGGTGGTGTTGTTTTCATTCATCCTCTCCCACTGGGAGAAGTATAACACAGGGATTCTCTTCCTGCCCTGGGGATATGACATCAGCCAGGTGGTAAGTCTGCACCCCAGCCTCTGCTTGCCTTCAGCAGAAGCTCAGCAGGCTGCTGATGTGCCTGGAAGCGTGAAAGGCCCTAAGCTTTGTAATGCAGTGATCTTGTGGGGGTTGCCTTTAGCAGGAGGCACTCAGCAGCACTAGGAGTCCTGTGCATGCAGAAGGGAGCAGGCTGTTTGTATCACTTGGAGCTGCGATTGCATTCATTAATCACTGTCATGTGGCACTAGGAATAAAACTTCTCCAAAATCTTAAATTCAAGGAACTTTGTTTTCTGGACTGGATGACCTTTATGGATCCCTTCCAACACAGGATAGTCCAGGACTTTCTGCAAGAAACGAGGCTTGAAGAATGGATATTGCCTTGTGTTTCCTCTGCCTGGTTCCTAGGTGCTCTCCATGTCCTAACTGCCTAAGTTGTTGCTCTACTTAGTCTCTATTATAGCTACTTTCAAGCCTAGAAGTTTAGGGTGCCTTTTGCAATTAGGATGTTTGTCAGAATGGGTAAAGTTCAGCTCTGCTGCTTCCAGGTGCCTGTCCTAGCCAGGGTGCAGCACCAGGCAGCACACCATTCGTATTCTGTCTTGCTAGATCCTGGGTGGGGAATGCAACAGGCTGGAAGAAGTGTAACCAAAGCAGCTGTGTTAATTGCAATAATCATCTCTAGGTACAATGTAGCTATGACCATATTCTAACCCACTCCTCCAAAAATATTGCTCATGCTTTTGGACCTCTGCCTAGCACAGGAAGGCAAGGGTAGAGGATTTCACACAACTTCAGAACTACCACTGCAATTGAAGGATCCCTTCATAGCCCATTCCCAGTCATGGCCTCAGCAGATGGATAACAGGAATCCAGAGCTGATCAGTGTGTGATACACAACACATCTCCGTGTTACACTTCGAGCTGTGTAAGGGCATTTTTGCTCCAGCTGCAAGGAGCAGATCCTGGTTGTGTTATTCCCTGCAGCAGCAGCAACACAAGGGATGCTTCTAAAAAACTGTTATTTTAAACTTCTGATCAGTGGGGATAATGGCACGTGATGTAGCTCAAATGCACGTGCTGAGCTGCCATTCCCCTGAGCTACATGCTGCTCACGCCTGCTTGTCCTCTGCTTTCTTTCAGACCATTTCAATTGTCTACATAGTGACAGCCATTGTGGGAGTAGAGGCCTGGTATGCACCTTTCCTGTTTAATTTCTTATATAGAGACCTATTCACTACAATGATTATTGGTAAGAAACTCCATGTTGAAGCCTGTCTTTTAAAAAAAAAAAAAAAAATCAACTTTTTTTTTCCCCAAACCCAATGTCTTAATTATTTTATAATGATGTTGTGTTTGCTGTAATGAGAAAAGCTGGGGCTGCTGCAGCGAGGGAGGACGTAGCTATGGAGTGGGGAAAGCAGCTCTCTTTGGGGGTCCTGTCCTTTGTGCACCCATCCAAAAGTTCAATCCAAGGGTGCATAACCTTCCTGCAGAAGGGCTGGCTGCTCTTCCTAGTGGAATCAGAACAAAGCAGGGAATAATGCAGCTCTCTGGGGAGAGCTATCTTTGCTTAATGTTATTTGGCTTATTCAGAAACTTTTCTCACTCTAAGCCCTTTTCTATAGGGGCTAATTATTACTATTTAATTACAAGTCGACGTTTCTTGGGTTGTTGCATTAAGAAAAGTGCAAGCATCAGATTGAAGCAAGTGGATATTCTGAGCTTTTCTTTGGTAGCCACGTACTTTCATATGTGAACAATAAATGCACTTTTCCTTTGTGAAAAATAGGGCAGGATGTGTATGTGGACTGGATTTGTGCATCTGAATAGGAGTGAGGTGATTAAAAGCAGGAAGATGTACAGCTCTGTTAAAATACCTTCTGCTGTGTAAACATGGAAGAGCTGTGATGCACTTTCATGGCTTTGACCGTAGGGTCCCATTAAAGACAATATCATAATTATGCTTTGAGCAGTTGTGAAGTTTAACACTGAGCTTCTTAATGCAGCTTTTAAACACTGAAAACTCATTGCGTTGAACTCAGATTCCATTTACTTAGCTTGTAATTACAACTCCTGAACCAGAATCTCAAGCACCTGCTTGGAAACGTGCTGAGCTGCTCTTCGTGCACCTCTGAGCTGTTCTGCTTGCAGGCAGCTGAAACCAGAGCACAGTCACTGTGGGGTGCACACAGTGGCCTCTTCTGCATGGGCAGTAATGTGGCTCTTTCTCTTTCAGCTTGTGCTCTCACCGTGACGCTGCCCATGAGCCTGTATAACTTCTACAAGTAAGTTCTTCCCTCCTGGCATTAGCACCTTTGCAAGAGCTCCCCGAGCCTTTTACAGTTTCTTTAGTTGTCAGATGAATGTTTTCAGGATGACAGAGTGGCTTTTGTACATCAGAGGGTTCCACTTTGCAGGGTGCAAACTGCTCAGCAGCTTGCTGAAGAGCTCGCAAATTCTGCAGGCTCGTCCTGTTGTTCCCTGCCCACATAATTCAGGAGCTTCTTGGATTTGGGGTTACCAGTGAAGGTTTGCATCTTCCTCACCTGACTGTGGTTACTGACTGTTTGCTTTTCAGGGCCTATAAAAAGAACACCTTGAAGCACCACTCCGTTTATGAGATCATGCTGCCACTGGTGTCCCCAGTGTTGCTTTTTGCTCTCTGCACCAGTTGGATCTTTGTTTCGCCTATGGACATCCTGGAGGTCCATCCCAGGCTCTTCTATTTCATGGTTGGAACCGCCTTTGCTAACATTTCTGTGAGTGGTTTTGCTTTGTGCTTCAGTTTAGCCCCTGGGAAGAGTGAAACCTCTCTTGACGAAGTAGAACACAGTTTCAGTGAGAGGAAGGAAGGGAGATGTGAAGTTTTAACTTGTGACAGTTGTGCTGTTTTGCTCTGACTGAAAGAACGAGCAGCAAAACAGACAGGGCCTGGGGTCTGCAAATATCACAGGCCTTGGTGCTACAGCTCTCAGCTCTTGAGAAACTACAGAAATAATGTTGTGTGTTTGTGCACGCTCTTTTTGGGGGACAAAATTAAAATGGGAGGGGCTGAAGCTTTTGTGCAAGTCTGATTTAGCTGCATATTGCATCCGTGCCTGCTTGAGAGTTGAGCACTGCTAGCTGTGCTCATTATCTCAGATCTGTGTGTCTGTACTGCCCCATGTCCATACTCTGGTCCAGCAGCTCGTGCTGCTTACAGTGTGGATAACATGGTAAGGAATTCTGGTGTGCAGGCAGATCCTGAAAAAGAAGCTGAGTGAAAGGTACACATGTGACTTTCCCCTGCGCTGTGTACAGCTGTGGGTTTGCAGGATTGCTGCTGGTGTGGGCTCTGACTGCTTTCTCTCCCTGCAGTGCCAGCTGATCGTCTGTCAGATGAGCAGCACTCGCTGCCAGCCTCTGAACTGGATGCTGCTGCCCATAGCCCTGGTGCTCTTCGTGGTGGTGTCTGGTTTTGCACCCAGCAGCGAAGCACTTCTCCTCTACCTGTTAACTGCATTCCTCACCCTGGCGCACATCCACTATGGAGTGGTCGTGGTAGGTGAACCTGGCACATGGGCTGAATGCTCAGGAGCTGCTCCCTGGGGCAGAAAATGCTCTGCTTTAAAGGGCTGGTGTCAGTTTTATAGCTCTCCATGAAGACCTCGAGCTGAGCTGTATTTAAAGCAAGCTTCAAGCAATGTGGGTGGGGGCTCCTTTGCCATGCAGGAGTCTGAAACAAATCCTTGCATCTCTGCTGCTGTTTAGCACGCTGTAGCTGTGATTTTAACCTAGAAACCAGCTCATAGGTCTGCCCATCTGGGTGACCCACACCCCGAGGCAGTGGGAAGGGCTCTCGTGGATACCCACAGCAGTTGGATGTGATGTCTGAGTGGTGGACAGGAGTGTTCAGTTTGGGAGTTTTAGTATAAAAAGTTGATCTGCTGTGGGTGTCACTGTGGTTGAGCTCAATCTGGAGCCACAGGGACACAGAGCTGACGTGGAGCATGGTGATGCTGTGGCTGTGTAGAGATCCAGGGACCGATTTGTTCCCCTGGGTGTGAGCAAACTCTGCCTGAATTTTGATTGAGAAAACAAATTCAGAGGAGGCCAAATCCCATTAGAAATGCCCCAGGAAGCTGCTGAGGAAGTAGGGCAAGGGCCCCCCTGGTGCTGCCATGTCACGCACCTTCCTTAGGTGGCCCTGTGTCCTCAGTGCTGCATCACTGACACAGAGCCTCCATGAGTCAAGGTTGAACTGTAATTACAGCAAGGAAGTAATACCCACGTTGTCTTGTCTTTCCAATTAGTGTAATGAGACTTATGTGCGAGAAGGATTTGAATAGCTAAGAAGCTTTAAATAAATTTGGTCTTGGAGTCACTGTTGGAGACGGGGCTGAGGACAGTGTAATCCCATCTGCTCAGATTGCCCATCCCTGCAGTGAGTTTTCCAGCTCTCTACTCCCCTGAGTTTGTGTTGCCCCCACTTCCAGTTTTCCAGGTGCCCATCTGTGTAGTATCCTCTCTCAGGATGGAATAACCTTGATAGTGATGCATAGCACACAATCCCAAATTATTATGAATCTGGGAGCACCATTTTGGAATAGATGCTCTGCCCTGGCTTGCTGCTGGTCTCAGCACTGTTTTCTGTTGGCTTTGCAATGACTGAACACCGGTGCCACATTGTAGATTTTATCCACTGTCTGCTGCACTGCTTTTTGTGGTTCTACAGGTGTTGCTCTTTCACCCTGATATGGAAAGGCTGAATACATTCCCTCACCCCACAAAGCAGATTCCTGCTTTTCCATTGCATCTCTCAGCCCTTTGTGGTGCTCTCATTTCTTAGAAGACACAGTGAAAGCTCAGGCTGCTGTAAAAAGGACCTGGTGATCCAAAACTTGTTTTGGCTACCCTCCACTCTGCAACCCTCCTGTGTCAATACCCAGCACTTGACCCCCAGCTCTAACTGTGAAGGCATTCAGGGACTGCTGTGCCTGGGAAGGGGAGGATGGAGATAAGCCTGCTTCAGGGCAAGATAGGCTATTGAATCACAGACTCATTGGAAAAGACCTCTAAGATCATCAAGCTCAAACCAACCCATCATGCCCAATGGCTATCCACTTCCCTCAGTGCCACAGTCCCAGGATGGTGACCCCTCCAGCTCCCTGGGCAGCTGTGCCACAGCATCACCGCTCTTTCAGAGAAGAAACTCCTTCCTAATTGTATCTGTTCTTCAGCACTCATCCAGCTGCTGCAAATCTCTGCTGCCTAAAACCTTCCAGGGAAGGGCATGGGGAAATCTGGAGAACAGGGGCAATGCAGTGTGGGCAATGATGGGGAAAGCAAGCACAGTGGGATAGCAGGGCTCTGCCGGTTTCCTCCTCGTGCCATCAGCTTTGCTAACTCTGTCCTTGTTCCCAGGTGAGCCAGCTGAGCAGGCATTTCAATATACGACCCTTCTCACTAAAGAAACCCACGCCGGATTGACTAGAAACGGAGGAAGAGAAAATCAGCTTGCGGTCTGCAGAAGTACTGTAAATATCTGCTGCAAATACCTGTAAATAGTTCAACCATCACCACAGATGTAAACCTATCCTCTGGACAGACATCAGGGCAACGTACACGCGGTATCCAGTGCAGCCAGGGCGGGACTGGTACGGGGCAGCCTCTGCTGCTGTTCAACCAACACAAGCCTACAGTTTTGGGTGAAGCTGGACAAGCTTCAGATCGCCTTCAGGTCACTACTACTGTATTTCAGACCAGCTGAATGTTCCCAGTGTAACCTCAATCCCCAGCACTTGTTCAGGTAAAGCCGGTTGGGGATGCAAATGGCTTTACCTGAGCAAAGCACCTTGACCTATCACCAAACCCAGCATAACAGCTGATTTCTGCAAGGTCAGGGGGACGTCCTTGTGGTCGAGTTCCTGTCTTTCCCTAACCCTCTTAGCCTTCGTCCTGAGCTGGTACTTAAGGAGCAGCTGGTGACAGTTTTCTCACATTCTGTCCTGCCTTCTTGCACTCATTTGTTTGGACAAATGCTGGCACCTTTTTGTTTCTTTTTTTAAAGCAGATGTTAAAGCCACACAAAACTGACAGTAACGTTTTACTTAGGGGGCTTAGGAATCAGGGCTCAAAGGAACATAAACATGGGAAGGCAGCTTTCCTCTCCTTTGCCCAAGTGGTGGGTATTGGGACCACGTTGCATCTGTCTTTGTGTGCTCCCTGCCTGCGAGCTGGGCTTTCTGATGGCAGCAAAATGTGGCTTACACCAACCTGTGTAACACAAAGCCAAACCCTTCCTTTCAGTGGGATGAACTTGCTGCTCTGGGTTGGCTCTTCTGGTTCCCTGAGCCTCTCCTTCCATAGCAGTGCAGCCAGGCTGCACATCACCCTTCCACCAGATCACCAATAGCAGCAAATCCACAGCTTGGAGAAGCACCTTAATGTGTGTCACGTTGGTTCTGTGTGCACTTCCAGAAAGCTCACAGGTTGTGTGTGTGTGTGTCTGCGTGTGTGGTGACTTTCCAAACATCACTTTGTTTTCAAGCTCGTTGTCCACAGCAGCTGCATGCCTCATCCAGGGATATCTTTGTTTACTGTCCATTTGTAAAAGACATGTTTGCATTCATTTCTTTTTTTAAAGGAGCATTTTTGTAATTGAGTTACTTGAGTGGGGTGGTGAAGACTGAACGCTGATTTTCTTTTCGATTTATTTAATGAAGATCTGTGCTTGAATGAAGAGTGTAGCTTAAACCCAGGCTCTGGAAAGGCTGCATCCGGAAGCAAACAAGCACAGCAGATTGTGCATCTGTAATCTACCATGGGAACAAAGTCTCTTACACACTGATCATTGTACGGCGTGCTTCGTGGACGCCTGGTCACAGCATTTTCCTTCTGCAGGTGAAGTCCCTTCTTCCTGCTTTAGGGAACCTTCAAACTGTAACTACTATTTAATGCTTTTTATTTTTTGGTGTTTTTTTTTCTTTCGTTTCTGTTTTTGTTTGTTGTGAATTTGAATCACTGTCATGCAGACTTGAAACCCCGAGGCAGCACCCGGTGGTCGGTCTGTCTGTGTGTCTGTCTGGCTCCGTGTCTGTGAAGGTGGCTCGCCTGGGAGAGGGGGCAAATGGTTTTCAGAGTTATTGAATAAAGTAGCATACACGGTATATTTTACTGACACTGTACAGGGAAAAACAAACAAACAAACAAACAAACCCAAAGCAGCCAAAATGCACAGAAAGAATTGGGCTGTGCTTGAATTTTTGAGGAGAATGCAACAGAATACAATCGTGGAGGGAGATAAATGGAAGTCATGCTTGCACAAGGTTCAGGGGGATCGGTGGGATGGGCCATGTTCAGGTAGCAGCATCGTGCTGGCAGCACGGGGCACAAGTGGCAGTTGGATGGTTGATTTCCTAGAGCTTGTGTTATCCTGGCTCTTCACTCGTGCTGTGAGATGTCCCACCTCACCTTGGGATGGCACTTTGTCTCCTTAGCACCTATCTGCAGCATCTGTTGGCTGAGAGCTGGTGCAGCCCATAAGAACATCCTGTGATCCTTGTGGGTCCTGTCCAAATTGGGATATTCTGTGACTGTTGAATGCCCTGTGGAATGGCATGAGGAGCATACCCTAAATTGAAGTTACAAACACGTGGGAAGCAGGGCTTCCTCTCTTAAAATCCTGCAATGACGTGTTGTGCTGGAGGAGAAAGATGCCTCTGAAAAACTGGAACCACTTCCTATCTGCACAGGCTGTATCTTTTGGAGAGTCCTGGATTTTCGGTGCCTTAATGTGATGCACCTTGAAGCTAGAAAAATATCTGCTTAAATCAGTGCTGGAAAGCAGGCTGGCTCATCTGTGCTGCTGCCAGGCTTGTGGCAGAGCCAGGTGAGAGCAGCCCTGGTCTCAGTGTACGTCCAACACCGTTTCCAACTCGTGCTGCTGTGAAGCTGGGTGGGTTTCTGTCTGAGCTGTTGGGAATGATGTGATTGCTGAACCCAGCTTCTTGGGGAGCGGAAGCACACGAATGGGAAGACCAAACCATCTTGCCATGGTGGGGTGTGGCATGCAGAGAAACAAATTATTTATTAATAATAATGGTTTTAAGTCTTAAAAATAAATTTATTCCTTGCTAACTGCATCTGAGGGTGCTTGTGTTCTGGTGGTGGTGTCTCTTTGGGTGCTTGGGGGCTGGTCTGTGTCATTGCTTCTTCCAGAGATGCTTTTTCCATTGCTGGTGGACATGCTGAGTTGATAAAAGGAATGCCTTATGCATCTTTAAATCTCTTCTGTCTCCATCCAGCCTGATAGCAGGAAGAAACCTGCTCAGGGTTCCTTGCCAGGGCTGGTCCAGGTGAGCAGCTGCCTTGTGCTCAAGTGGGAGCTGTGAATGAAGCTTTTATTGGTCGTGCTTTGTGGCAAAACTATGTGTGGGGCTTCTGTCGTGCGGTGTGTGGTTCCTTTTTATTAAGTTGTTCACTCTTTCTGCCATCCCATTTGATGGAGGGTGATACAGAGTGTGAAATACTCCATTGCATTCCCTCTTGTTTTTGCCAGTCTTGTACTTTCTTACATGAGAAATGTGAGTGAGCGTCACTTCGGATGGTGTCGGGGTAGGTTTGAGAACCAAGACAACAACCCCCACACTGTATTTCACCACAGCTTTCCAACACTTTGTCACCATAAGCAATCCAGAGGCTGCTTCCATTCCTGTGAGGATGTACTGATGTCCCACAGAGGGCTTAAATGATCCCGTATAATCTATTTGCCATGTAGACCATGAAGTTTTTCCCTCATTAATGAGTGACCATTCTCCCAACCAGCATCACCCAGGATCTAAGGTGGTTTTCCTGATTTTAGATAACTCACCAATACTTTCTGGTTGCATTTTGGGGCAGACTGATTATCTTTAACGTGAGCTTTTACCCATCCCATCTTGAAAGATGTTTCCTAGCTGCAGCTGGTTATAATTACCAATCTTTCTTTCTCCAAACTGAGGCTCTATTTACTTCCCAACTCAAGGCTTCCCACTGACAGAGCCACAGCGTGGCACCGGCCCGTTCAGCATAAAAGGCTACAGATAGGAACAACTACTCTTATGTCTGCTACTTGTGGACTGCCACCCCCTTCTTCCATTACTTGTTTGCTGATGGTAATACCTAATGCAAGCTCTAATATTGCCATTTACCATTTGCCCTTTGGCTGAGGCACCCGTGAAACAAATGTTTTCTGTTGGTGTATCCTCAGTAAGGGGTGGTAGGCTCAGGTTTAAAAGGTTGTAACACTAAAGGTTCTGTGCTTATGGCCATCTGTAATTTGGAAACCTGAGTGTATCCCTCAGCATGTTTTCTTGCAATTCCTGTAAGGTAGGCAGACCGTTTCCTGACATTTTTTGCAGTGCCTTCTAGGGGAGCCATCTCCAGTTAGAGATTTAACCACCTCCTACTATTTGCTTTTCTACAAGAGTGAGTGTAATGGGCAGGGAATGACAGAAACCCCAGGTCCGTGCTTTTTTCAATATCCTGTAGTTCCCATTAACTGTTTACATTTCCTTGATTTGGACATCTATCAGCATTCCTGGTCAACTGGAGAGATCCCAGAGGGCTGGAGGTTTGCCAGCGTGTCTCCCATTTTACAAGAAGGGTTGCAAAGAGGATCCAGGGAATTACAGGCCTGTCAGCATCCTTGTGTACCCTCAGTAAGTTTGCAGATGATACGGATTTGAGGGGAGGTGTCCATCTGCCTGGGGGTAGCAAGGCCCTGCGGAGGGCTGGATAGCTGGGCTGAGGCCAATGTGATGAGGTTCAACAAGACCTTGTGCCAGGCTTTGCTTTGGCCACAATAGCCCCACGCACGGCTGTAGGCTTGAGGCAGAGTGGCTGTAAGACTGTGTAGGGGAAACAGACCTGGGGGTATTGATTGATGCTCAGCTGAACGTGAGCCAGCAGTGCGCCCAGGTGGCCGAGAAGGCCAGTGACATCCTGGCTTGGATCACAAATAGTGTAACCAGCAGGAGCAGGGAAGTGATCATCCCTCTGTCCTCAGCATTGGTGAGGCTGTGCCTCAGAGAGCAAGAAAGCATCTTCATCGCTTTCCAGACTTCTCAGGGCAGCAGTCAGGGCTCCTCTGAGGAGAACAGCATTTGCCTGGGACTTTGTCCCCTGCTCTCACCCAGCAGCTTTTGGTGAAGCGTTGCCCTTGCAATTAAGGCCTTCCCTGTGGCAGTTGGGTCTGGATCTGGCCTTGCTCCATGCAACCTGGCCTGCTCTGCTCTGCTTTGCAATGCAGCGTGCGTGCCTGGATCAGCCCTAAGTTCTGCATGTGTGGTTAAACCTCTAGTGAGCCTGTAACAGTTGGGATATCTGGGGCAGAGTGGGAATGTGGCCACAGGGCTGCTGCTGCAGTATCTGAGGATGCTCCAGATGCAGAGAGCAGGCAGAGATGCTGCATTTCACCCAGCAGTCTTTTCCTGCTCTCTTGAAGCACAGATGACACCTTGCTTCAACCACAGCTCATCCCTTGTGGTGCTCACCCCTAATCTGCTTGGTGTTCTGAGAGAAGGAGGAAACTGTATTATGGAAATGGTGTTTTCCCAGCTCTAACTGGACTGCCCAGATCCTCTTAGCAGAAACAGACCAGTCAGGACACGGCTCTGCCCCAGCGGAGCCTGAGCTCACAGTGAACTTTTAGCTGTTGGCTTCAGCACTAATCGTGGTGATCCTCACTTTATCCTCGTGCCAGCATGACTGAAGCTGTGTACAGAGCAATAAGCTGCTGTACAGCTTGGTGTTGCAGCCACCTGATTTAGCTGGGGAGGTGCTGAGGCCAGGAATTAGGGAGATGTTCTCATGAGCCCCAGCACGGCATTCTGCAATCACCCTGGTTTACAGAATCGTAGAATCACAGAACCGTAGGGGTTGGAAGGGACCTGTGGAGATCATCAGTCCAACCCCTTGCTAAAGCAGGTTCCCTGCAGCAGGTTACACACACAGGAAAGCATCCAAGTGGATTTGGAATATCTCCAGAGAAGGAGACCTCACCACTTCTCTGGGCAGCCTGTTCCAGTACTCCATCACCCTCACTGTAAAGAGGTCCTTTCTCCTGTTCAGATGGAACTCCAGTTTGTGCCTGTTGCCCCTTGTCCTGTTGCTGGGCACCACCAAAAAGAGCCTGGCCTTCTGACCTCTTCCATTTAGATATTAATCAGCATCAATCATCTGCTCTCCCCTTCCCCAGGCTGAACAGCCCCAGGGCTCTCATCCTCTCCCCATCAGGAGATGCTCCAGACCCCCCACCATCTCTGCAGCCCTCTGCTGGGCTCTCTCCAGCAGTTCCCTATCCCCCTCAATCTGATGAGCCCAGCACTGAGCTCAGTGCTCCAGAGGGCACAATATGAGATTATTTATGAGGTGAAGTGATTGGCTTGTGGCCCTGGCTTAGAGTTTTGCCGCATCATTTGTGACCTCTTGATGTAATATGTGATTTCACCCCTAGGGTTTCCAATGGGTCACCTGTTCTAGGGATGTATTGCTTCTGTTTGGGGTCATGGTTGTGAGCACACACCTGGTGCTCTGTTATTTGTGAGCACATCGAGGGTTGCTGTGGCTCATCAGCCTGAGCAAAACTTATGTTAGCTGCAGGAGCTGAGCAAATCCACGTGGGGCCGCCAGATTGCACCAAAGATGAGCTGGATGCTGAGGTCTGAATCGCAGCCCTGCAGTCCTTCCATTGGGAAGGCTGACAGGAGATGTGGAACTACATGGGGAGAGATGGGCTGGTGACAGCTCTGGCTGGGGCCAAGGGGTGCTGCTCCCCCCACCAGGGATTCAAGCCCACATGTGTTCAAGATGAGACAAAGCCTTGCAGGAGCCCAAGAGCCCTGTGGCCTCTTCCCATGCCCTGGGCCATGCTCTTTCCATCCAGACTAATACCTAGGTGTATTTAAATGACACCTTGCCTTTTGTCAGCCGTCTTGACAGCTTCCTCTAAGAGGATTGTTGCGGTAGGTGTAATATACTTAAGGGATTGTTAAGAACAGTAGCATTTCAGCAGCACTCTGCAGACAGGCAGCACAGGCTGCCAGCCCCGGGAAGCCCAGTTTGGCCACCCAAGACACTGGAACTGGCCATGAGGCGCCTCTCCCTCCTTTGGACTTGATGTGTGTCCAGAACAGGGGATCCAAGTGCTGGTGAGATCTGGGGATTGATAATCACCTACTTTTCCCTCATGTTCCTGAACATCTTTTCTAGGAGGATCAGCTCCATGATCTTCCTAGCACAGAGGTGAGGCTCACTGGCCTCTTGTCCCCCAGGTCCTCCTTTCTCCCCTTCTTGAAAATGGGATCAATGTCTCCCCTTTCCAGGCCTCAGGGACTTTGCCTGATGACTTTTTGAATGTGATGGAGAGATCATCATCATGGTGGAGAGTCACCATCAGCAGCAGTAGGCAACAGGCTGTATGAAGGGGAATGAGAGAGAACGGCTCCTCAAATCAAACACCTACCCATGCTCACAGTATGCCACGGTCCCCTTTATTGCTAGTGCTCCCTACACTGCAGCTGAGAAATCAAAATCAAACAGCAGAGGGGCAGGCAGCAGCTGCTCCCTTCCCACAGTGCCATCAGATGCTGATCTCTCTGCTGCCCTCAGCTGTCCCCACTTTCTTCAGGTTCTTCACTTTGCTCTTCATCTTCCACCAGAAGGAGAGGAGACACTGCAGTGTGCTGCTGTGCCCCAGGCTCTTGTACTCCACCTGGGGCATGGGCTCCATCCCTACTCTCTGCAACCTTTCCAGGGCATCTGGGGGGATTGGCTGTGCCCACGGGGGCAGAGGCCACACAGGGGCTGTGGTGGGAAGGGACTCCCCTTGTTGCATCCCCCAGTTTTTGGGACTTCTAGGCAGAGGCTCTCTGCACTCCTCGCAGTATTCCTCACTGCCACAACATTTGGGCAGCCACACATCTTTCCCCCATGCGTGCAGTGTCTTCCCACTGATGGACAGATTAAAGAGCAACCCAACCTTCAGCTTTACCTTCTCCTCCTGCACCACCACATCCAGGGAGAAGATCAGGGCAGTCAGCATGGCCATGGCCGCGGTGGCTGAGGAGCTGCTGTGGTGTGGGCAGCTGTTGTCCAGGCACCGGCAGCACTGCATGCAGATGGGATATTTGCTCCTGTAGCCCCCGTGTGCCCTTTGAGCACCGCTGTCGTTGTTTTTTTCCATTTTGGCCAGCAGGCTGAGGCAGATTTGTGTGGTGTCCAAGGACTCCATCAGGGATCTGGGGAGGTCCTTCATGCTGGAAGTGGAGAGTGAGTTCCCGAGGAGCTCTGAGTTGGCGGCTGGGCTCGAAGTTCCTTCTTGTCTCTCCTGTGGCAAGCTTCTTCCAGAGGCTGATTTTCTTTGCAGTCTGCTTCTGTGCTGTCTTTTTTGATGTGACCTCACCTGGCTGAGTGTGGAACTCCTGGTGGGACAGCGGGTTCTGCTGTCGGACAGAAAAGGTGCAACACCATCACTCAGGTCTTCTGACGGATTGTCCTGGCAGCTCTGAGATGCTTCAGCCCAGAAGGGTTCTTGGGGACATGGGGAGAGGCCGCCACAGCAGCACGAGGTGTGCAGTGTGGGGCCAGGCCCATTTGTGCCGCTCTGCTCCATCCTCCTGTCCATCTGCTTGCTCTCTGTTACTGACGTGCCCTGCTCCACAAACAAGCTTGTCTTCGTGGGGAATGCCAGCCTTGGTGGGCACTGCTTGGGAATTGAGGACCTGGGAAGGGGAATGGAGTCACAGGGATAGGAACGTCTTCAGTCTCAGCCTGGTGTAGAGCTGAGCCCTCCCCCCCACCCCGCTCTATTTCATTTCATTTAGTTTCTTTTCATTGCATTTTGTTCTACTTCATTTTAGTCTGTTCCTCTCCTCTTCTCTTCCTCCTTCCATCCCATCGCTTCATCCCATCACTTCATCCCATCCCATGCCACTGTACCAGGCTGTGCCCAGGCAGCATTTGGAGAACACCAGCTCGTTGTTGGTGCAGTGCCTCTTGGCCTTGAGGATGGCCAGCACTGCTATGCCCAGCAGAGGAATGGTGCAGCACACCCTGTGGTCCCAGCGACCCCAGATGCTGAGGCCTGGGAGGATAGTCATGACTGTCAGAATCCATAGCTTCGTCGTCTGCTTGGAAGTCACATTAAGTGTGTGGCCACCAGCACGACTACACAGCTCTTAGCAACAGCCCTGTGATGGTGGCATGGACACGACCAGCCCAAAGGGTGTCTGGGCTCAGGGATTTTGGAGGCTGACTGATGTGGTGAGCACACTGCTCCTACCCACCTCCTCCTCCCAGCTGCTCTTCTGATGGAGCCACTCTAAACAGGGCCATGTCTGTGACATGGAGGTGACATCCCTCAAACACACAATGGCTGCTGTGGCCCCAGCTCCCAGTCAGTGCACTCAGTCACCTCTCAGCAGGGAAGCTCAGGGGCAGCCACTGCCCATTTTTACCTGGCCTGATTCCTGGTGATGGTGCATGAGAAAGAGAGGGTGTCTCATGAGTGGGCCCTGCACAGACTGATCTACTGGGGGGGCTCCCCACTTGCTCCCACTGCTCCTCCATGCTCTGCCCCAGGAATACTGGCAGTGCTGCACTGTGTCACCCTGCTCCAGGCCCTTGTCTTCTTGGTGGACCTCTTCCTCCACAGCACTGTGTGCTGGTGACATGTTGGATATGTGCGTGTTCACGTAGATGCAAGAAATCAGCCATAAATCTATTTGCTGCTATACTAGTGGTGAGCTTGTGTTCTCTGGGAGAGGTGACGTCAGTCCTAGCTTCAAGAAGTGCAAGGAGGAGAACCTGGGGAGCTCTGGGCCAGTCCAACTCCTGACTCCTCACTGCAGGACCCGGGGCCGTGCTGGTGGCCCTGGCAGCAGCCCCCCATTCCCAACCTCCTTCTCTCTCCATGGCAACAGCAGAGACAAATACCATGGCAACCCCATGGCAACAGCACAGGCGATGCCACTGGTTCCCACAGCCCAGAGGCAAGTGGATGCCAGGGCATCCTGGAGCAGCCTTCCAATCACAGAGTGGTTCGGTTGGAAGAGACCTCGATGACCACGCAGGACCAACCCCTGCTCTGGGTTGGGTGCCCCCCACCAGCTCCTCCACCAGCAGCACAATGGGACATCATGTCCTACCTGGCGCCCAGGGAACCGCTTTCCAACAGCAGGTGTTTTCCCTGGGGTGGGAGCCAGCTGTAACCAAAGGGCATCCCCCATAGGGGAATTTAGGGTTGCTCCAAGCCCCTGCAGGGTCTCAGCTCGACTGGGCAGGGTGGGCCCACAGTAGCTGTCCCAAGGTACAAACAGGAAGTGAGCTGGACTGGGTGAGGGAGGAGACCCCGGGGTTTGTAGGCGTGGACTGAATGGGATCAATGAACAGGAGTAGATCAGTGGTTACTTTGTGGTGAATGGAGGTGTTCAAGAACCCTGGAGATGTGGCACAGATGGATGTGGTCAGGTGGGGCGCACATGATGGGTGGGTGATCTTTGGGGTGTTTTCCAACATTAATCATCATAGAATCATTGAACTGTTTGAGTTGGAAGGGACCCTTAAAGGCTACCTGGTTCGACTGCCTGCAATGAGCAGGGATGCCCTCAGCTCCATCAGTGCTCAGAGCCCAAACCAGCCTGACCTTGGCTGTCTGCGGGAACATCCACCACCTCTCTGGGCAACCTGTGCCACTGCTTATAGTGTCAACCCCCTCCAAAACCGCCTAGGTGGCACAAACCTCACTCCAGCACGCTGTGCCACCCCCTGTGATATCCCCATCACCCAGTGCTGCTGAGCAGCCGGCACGGGTCTGCACAAAGGGCGATCTGCTTTTCCCCCTGTTGTTCTCAGAGCACAGGAAAATGAATTTTTCACCCCTGTAAAGTGAAAAAATAAAATAAAATAAAATAAAATAAAATGGGTGGACTTTCAAAGCCCATCGATAACTGCATACCTTGAACTTGCTGGCAGGCGCCCGAAGGGTACCTCTCCTCCAGCTGAGGTCGGCCAGCCTGCAGATGGCAGCAACCACCCGCAGCAATCGAACCGGTAGGGACCGCGGCCACCCACCCTACAGCTCGGAGGACACCCCCAGCACCGCTCCTGGGAGTCTCTCCCTGCTCCTTCAGCACCACTTCTCCTTCTCCATCCCAACACCGGCTGGAAGTCCCCCAGAGCCCTCCCACCGTCCGAACCCTCCATCTCTCAGCCAAAAGTAAGTTGGTGCCTTCTGGCCTCCGACAGCCGCTGCTTGAAGCCGTTTCCCAAAGCGCCGCTCGCTCCCTGGTGATGGGAGAGGTGCTATTAATAAATCCCGTCAGCTTTTATCTCTTCTCTCTGTGCCAATGAAGAGGGCGGTTTGGGGAAGGGGGGAGGCGGGGGGGAAACCTGTTTCTCTCCGGCGTTTCATAGCTACGAGCTCAGCGCGGGAGCATGGGATGGCTCAGCAGGCTGTTGAACCAGCTCTCCTGTGAGTCCGGGGCTGAAGGTGGGGAAGGAGGGTTGAGGGGAGAAAGGTTGCTTGGTTTTTGGTGCATTGGGTTCATTTTTGGCGTGGCTTAATCAAACCCTCCTCCATGGGGCTGTGCTGGCCAGGGCGCAGCAGTGGCGTCGCAGCATCTGTCCCAGACTTGCACCTCCTTGGGAGCGCATGGAGAGGGAAAGGTGCACGTGGAGCTGTGCACCTCTCTGGGCAGAGTGATGCCTGGAGCTGCTGTCCCCTGCTGTTCCTGCTGTTGGAGGTGGACACCTATAGCCCACCTGCTGCCCCCTGCCCTTTGCTGGGAGATGTTGGCCTGTGTTAGAGTGGCCCTGTGATGTTCAGCGTATCGGAATTGCTTGGGGTCGGGCTGCCAGTATGGCTCTGTGTGCTGCCGGTGGCACAGGAGTACAGCGGTGCCCTCAGTGCTCCTGGCCCCTAAGTGGGGGGTTGCCATGCCCTGAAGCCTTCCTTGATTCTTTCCTCCAATTCTCAGGGTGCAAAGGGGCCCTTCAGCACCCGGCTGTGGGGTGCTTGGCTTGTGTCCAGCGGCTCTGTCACACCTCGAGGGGGGGTCAGCAGGGAACACTTCTGTGACCCACTGTGGGGCTGGGCAGTGGGGTGCAGTCAGCAGGGACTCTCCAAGCACTGTGTGGGGAACCCCCCTGAGGCTGCTTCTTCCAGTGATGGGGATCCATATGGGAGCAGGGGCAGTGTCAACCCCTCCCCATACTAACACCCAACTTGCTTTCGTGTAGGGAAACCGCTATGGGGCAGGAGGTGGCTGTGAAGGGGAATTCCCAGTAAGAACCCGTTCGCCCCATGGCTGCTGCCTGCAGCTGTGCCGTGCCTGTGGTCTGCAGAGCCTGAGGCTGAGAGGAAGGTGCCTGCATATGGGTTTTGGGGAACTGCCTGTCTGCGGCTTTGCCTTGCTGCTTCCCCTACCGTGCTCAGCTCTCTGCATGGAAACCAGCCCATGTGGCAGTGCCCACCACCCCCATAGCACCCCGCTGCTGGGACCACAGTGCTGTGTTGTGGTGGGGAGGGGGGAAGGGAGAGCACCCCACTGCTCCCCCTTCCCTCCTCCTCCTCCTCCAGCCCTCAATATCCAACACCCCCAATGCCGTATTGCGGGGCTGGGGGCTGCGTGCTGCTGTGTGATCAAAGAGGGGCTCAGATAGTGGGGTGCCCCCAATTCACCCAACAAAAGGGGCGGTGTGCTGAGGGTGGTGGTGCTGTCAGAGCCCTCCCTGCTGCCCCGGACATTGGCACAGAGGTTCTTGCACCATCTTCATTCCTTCCTCATCCCCTTGCAGAGCGCTGAGCTCCATGGGGGCCGCTTGCCAGCTCTTCCCAGGTAGGAGAGGCCCCATACGCTGGGCCCCGTGCCCAAATTCCCAACCTGTCCCAACCTGTTACGGGGTCAAGGGAGTGAGCAGGTGAGGGGTCTTGCTGCCTTCCTCGCCTCCCGCCCTCCTCTTCCTTCCCGGCGTCGTGGCCTCATCCGGAAGCGGGCGGTGGGGAGGAGTGGTTTCAACATCGATTCCAGCACGGGACACGCTGCCCCAGGGCCAGTGGGGGCGAAGGCAGCGCCAAGGTGAGCAGCTCTGCTCACTTTGGGGAGCGCGGTGCAAAAAAAGAAGGGGGAAACGCAGAGCCGAGGGCAGGAAGTGGGAGTGGGACGTTGCGTCTCCGTGCTCAGGGCGAGCTGGGCCGCAGCGGGGCGGGAGGTGCTGTGATGTTTGCCTAAGCGTTGGGTGGTGCGTGCCAGCATCGTCGTCACAGGGAGAACGCTGGGGATGGGAGGGCTGGGAGGGCGAGAGGGGCTGATGCGACACTGGGTGCCTGTGGGCTGCTCTGGGTGCTGCTCGGTGGAGTTTCATCGCCGTTGGCTTTGGGATATGTCATCCAAGCAGGATGTGTTGCTCCTCCAAACCTGGCCCTTTGCAGGCGGTGCTGCGGGGAACTGCCTGCATCTCCTGGTGGGGAGGGTCCTGTTGGTGGGTCCCCCAAGAGCGAGAGTGTCTGAGAGCTGGGCCAGAGCAGGGGGTGGGATGGAGCACCAGGCATGGGGCTCTGGTGTTATGTGAGAGGTGGAGAGAGCTCAGCCAGGCTGGGCCAGGGGGTATCCTAGGGCTTCCTGAGCAGGAGTGCTGTGAGAGCCTTCCTGAGTGGGACAGGGCCTTGGTGAGGAACAGGGACACACCAGGAATGGTCCCATTTCCACCTACTGCACCTACAGCAGATGTACATGGCATATCAGAGTGGTTCAGGGGACAGCATCCAGCCTAGGTGCGTGGGGATGGATGCATGGGGCAGCAGTGTTCATGCAGGAGCACACCGTATGGGATGCACAGCGCAAAGGTGTCCACACAGGAGCACCCAAGTGGGACAAGGGGCTGCAGGCCTCCCAGTCTGCAAAGGACAGGGAGGGATGCATAAGCCCATGGCGTTGTTGGTGCGTGCATGGGGCGCAGTGCTGCTGTCCCCAGGCTCCACATCTCCATGCCTTTGTGTTCAGCCATTTTTCAGTGCTCTGTGCTCAGGCTCGTGCAGGCGATGGGGGCTGGGGAAACGCCATCTGAATCATGTTGCTTTTTCCCTGGCACACTTATTACTCACGAGGAATAGATGTGAACCTTCCGTGGGAAGTGTTGCTACGTTCCAACCTGCAGCAGCATGCCGTGCTCAGGCCCCTTTCTCTGAGGAGCAGCAGAAGGGGGCTCAGCCCAAAACCCACAGGGATGTGTTTCCCTATGGAAGTGTGGGGGGCAAAATTTGGGGGTTTGTGTTCATATAGGGGCAGCACGCTGCTGGAGGGAAGGGCCACAGTGCTCTGTTTGGGGAAGAGGCTGCAAAGAGGGAAGAGGAACACTTGGTGATGCGCACAGCTCCCGTGAGCCACTGGGAAACCTCCCAGTCCCCACTGAAGCTTCAGTCAGCGGCCACAGCTGGGTGCTGCACCACTTCCTGAGCCCTGTGCATCTACACAGTGCTGTGCACCTGCACTGCCACAGTGTGCAACCACCACAGTGCAGATCTGACGCAGTGCACATCGAATACAATGCACAACTAATGCAATGCATGTCTAATGAACACAGTGCACGTCTAACAAGCACAGTGCACGACCACCACCGTGCACAACCACCATGCAGATGCAGCCACGTTGCATCCAGCCCAGATAATGTGAGGGGCACTGCGGGGTGTGATCCTGCAAGTGTTGCACAAACATTTTGTAGTGAGTTGTGGCCATTGGGAAGGAGAAATTGCTTGGGGAAGGGGCTCAGGGGTGACTCCTGAGTGTGGGGTGACTGATTTTTCCAGGGATTGGGGCTGTGGTTTGGGCTTGAGATGCAACTCTGGAAATGGGGGTATATCTCCTAAAATGGGAGATGTCTGTCTCTGAAAATAGGACTATATCTATAAGTAGGGATGTGTCTCTGGAAATGCATCGGATCTCTGAAAATGGGGATGAATCTCTGAAAATAGGGGTGCATCTCTGCAAACGGAGTGCGTGCCTGGAAACAGAGGTGTGTCTCTGGAAATGGGGGGTGCATGTCTGGAAATAGAGATGCGTTCCTGAAAATAGGAATGCATTTCTGAAAAGAGGAGTGGATCACCAAAAATGGGAGCACATCTCTGAACATACGAGTACATCTCTGAAAATGGGGATGCATCTCTGACAATTCCTGGTGCCGGAGGGGAAGGGCTGTGCTGCAGAACCTGCGGCTTTGCATTCTTTTGTGTGATTTCTGCCAAAAATGCCCCGGCCTGCCTGGGAATTTTAAAGTTTTGGAGGAGATGAGTTTCCCTAATGAAGCTAGCGTGAATATCAGGAGTGTAATTAGCTCTAGCATCCATCAGCCTGACAGGAACAGGTACTGGGGGCCGTATGGGTTTGTAGCAGCGCCTGCAGTGGGGTGGGACACAAGCAGAGCTCCTGCCCCTTGCCCCCATTCCCTACCCACCCCAAGGATGCAGGAGCAGCATCGCGTTCCTGCAGGTTGCCTGGTGACAGGGATGCCTAGCGACCAGTACCAGCTGTGCCAACCAATGATGCTGCAAAGCCCTCCGCTTCCTTCTGGCGCTGAAAGGTTACCGGGAAATACGCCCACCCTGTTCCTGGGAAGCTGCTCCCCTCCCCAAGCTTTCGGTGCTGCTCGGGATTATTTTTAGGCTGGCGGAGCTGCGGGAGCAGTGCTGGATGGGGAAGGCTGCGGCTGAACCCCGCTGCTGCCCTGGCGCTGTTCTCAGCCCCTTCCACCCTCATCCCCCATGGATGCCCTCACCCACTCCCCGCCCAGCCTGATTTTGGGAGCTGCTGGTGTGTGCTCAACCCCTTGTGTTCCGTGCTGCCGTGCCTTGGTTTGCTTGGGGAAATCCAAGAAATAACCAAGTGGTAGTTGCATTATCACTTGGCCAAGTAGTAATTGTGTTAATTGTGAGGATGAGTGAGAGCACTGAGATTCAGTGCAAGGTTAGGGCACAACCTACGGGGCCCTGGGAACATGGTCCTGCAGGTCCCGTACACTGAAAACATTCAGCAGGGAAAACGGTTGATTTTATCCCATTTCACTCAAGGCTGTGATGGAAAACTGCAGGTTGCACGTGGTTGCTGCTGATGTTGGAGGCTTTTAGGGAGGACTCTTCATGGGCACTGCAGTGGGTTCAGGTTTGAGACCCCCTCAAGGGGAGAGCTGACAGCAGCTCACTGGGGACGTTTTGCCTCCAAAGCCATGTCCTCGCTTTCCCCTCCCCATTGCCTTGCACTGGGAGGGGGTGATGTACTGGTGAGGGAGCCTCGTAGGGAGCCCAGATGGCCCTGCCTTGTCCCCTTGCTGGGACAGAAACACAACGCAGACAGAACACGCAGATCTTTCCCCCGTGCCTGAGTCACCTCTTCAGCGAGCTCCGGCTGTGGGCGTGATGGCAGCACAGCGTCTCGATTCTGATTCCTCAGCAGTGCTGCACGTATTGCCGTACCCAGCTGCTTGGTGCAGAGCTGGGGCTGGGGGGAGGGGGCTTCCTGAGCTGTTCCTGCACCCAGAAACACCCGTAGCAGTGTTTTCCCACTTGGAAAATGGGATTGCATCTCTGAAAATGAGGGCATGCCTCTGAAAATGGGGTGCATCTCTGGAAATAGGGGCGCCTCTCTGGAAATAAGAGCTCCTCTCTTGAAATAGGGGTGGTTCTCCGAAAATGAGAGTGCATCCCTGAAAATAGGAGTGCGTCTCTGAAAATGAGGATGGATCTCTGAAAATGGGAATGCCTCCCTGAACAATGGGATGCATCTCTGAAAATGGGGGCGTGTCTCTGAAAATGGAGGTGCATTTCTGAAATTGGGGTACATGTCTGGAAATGGGAGTGATTTTCTGAAAGTGGGAGCACACCTCTGAAAACAGAGGTCCATCTCTGAAAGCGGGGTACATGTCTGAAAATGATTTTCATCTCTGAAAATATGAGTGCGTCTCTGAAAATAAGGGTGCATCTCTGAAAATGGGGGTTCATTTCTGAAAATGAAGCACACGTCTGAAAATGGAGGTGCATCTCTGAAAGTGGGGGTGATTCTCTGAAAATGAAGGTGCACCTCTGAAAACAGGAGTGCATCCTGGTGGAATGCTTAAACCCTCCATAGGAGGCACAACGAAGGGAGTTGTAGTTGCACTAAGCAAAGAATCAAATGGGTGGAAATGTATTAGGAGCTAGCCTTGATGGTGAGGATGTCCAGTGGATGCTTATTGAGGCTAGCGTTTTGGGCTGTTGAGTTTTTGGTGTTTTGGGCTGTCTGCCAGCACTTTGGGGATCTACAAGTGGTTTTGGGATCTGCAAATGATTTTGGGGTCTGCAAGCAGAGAGGGCAGCCCTCCAACCCCCCTGGGGCAACCTGTCCCACCGTTGCAGTGTGTGTCACTTCCTTTGCTTTGCGAAACACGTTCTTCCTCTGATGGGGCTGTCACATGTGGCCCAAACCCAGCACTCCAAACCCATCCAGCCAGCATCCAGAACCAACACTGCCTGTTGAAGTTGCTGCCAGGGTTTTCCTTCTCCCCACTGCCCCGCTACAGGGCTGGAATGAATGCAGACCCCTGGATTTGGGGATTGGATGCATGAGGAGGGGGGTTGGGTGGTGACATCCTGCTCCCCGCTGGGGACAGGGCTGAAGTGATGGATGGGAGCTGGGCAGATTGGGGCAGATATGGGGAGCAGGCGTTTGAGATAAGACAGGTGTGCCCCAGAGTGTTCCTTGGTGTCCAGATTCCTCTGCCCCGGGGCTGACAGAAGGAAAGAGAAACTGAGGCACGCAGCCTGTGCTGTGGGTCTGCGTGGTGGTGCAGCCCCGGTTATAGGACACAGCCTCCAGGTGTGGGTGCTGCGGTGCAATGCTATAGGTGCCACTGCCTCAACCCCTGCAGGAGCCTCTCTGCTCCCCCGGAACCATAACAATCCACCGTGAGTCACTGAAATACCTGCACCGATGGGGCAGGGCAGGGCCGGGGTGAGGCGTGCGGCTGTAGGGTCCCCCTGTCTGTCCCACACCGCGGCATGGAAACGGGACCCTGCTGAAGGGAC